GAGCGGTTCTCCTGTAGTGGAATACTTGTGAGTGGACCCCTTCTTAAATTGCATGTTTTTATAAAACATTAGGCTTGTTGCATTTCATATTTCATGAATTGATTACGTTTTATGATATGATTTACGGATTTTTAGATTTATGCTTTATGAAGAATTTATGATTTATTAAAATTTCTTTTATGCAATATTTATTATTTATCGAATTTACATTTTACGAAAGGTTATGAATTATTGGATTTTCGTATATGAAATTCTCTGGATTTACGAATATGATATATTATGGATTTATGAGATGAAGCTTTGAGCTTTTGAGCTTCAGTGATTTGATATGAGATTTTGAGACATGTTTTTTATACTTATCTAGTGGGTTATCATACAACACATCCACACAACACGGGTATACGGGTATGTAGACGTCTACGGTCATAGGACATAGTTGAGTATATTTACACTATACCCCTACCTTCATTGGCGAAACCAATGTTGGACAACTTCATTGGCCACGGCTAGTGTTGGTGTGTGATTTTATATGTTTCTTCTCTGACGTAACCCAAAGTCGTACAGCTTCACCTTCGAGTGATGAGGTCTATCATGTTGCTTCACTGGCGTAACCAAGTGTCATACAACTTCACATTCGAGTGATGAACAGGTACTGCCTTCGGGCGACTATGATACCTCTAATTGAGTACAACATTGATGTGATTTACAGAGGTTTTACAGATTTCCCTTCGAGCGACAATATTACCATTGTTTTGATTTATAAGATTCTTAGGTTTTGCCTTCCAGCGTTTCGATACCACTTTTAAAGATGATTTTATTGCTACAAACATTTTTGGCATGTTAGAGTTTTCAATAAACCTATTATGTAGTATATATAGATGTGTTTTCAAAACAGGGGGTTAGTATGTTCAGAAAGAAAATAGTTTTCATATTATTAGTATTATTATAAACTTTGGTATGCTCACCTTTTATTTTTGCGCCTCTCTCATGACATAGTGACGAGGAGTACGACCTTAATCACGGTAAACCTACTCTGCACAACCCCTTCCTCACCCATCATCCTAAACACCGCCAAAGCCTCTCAAGCCGCCCAATCTGGACAAACCCATTAACCATCGGTAAATCGCATGAATCTTCCTCCTAACCCAAATTTCACCACCAACCTATGAATCTTCCTCAACTCCAGAACCCCACTGCACCCCCTAATCACACACAGAAACATAAACTTATCTGGAACAACATTGGCAAACCGTATTCTTCTATAAAACTCAAACCCATCTCTACCCAGCACATTTGCTATAAACCCAGCAATGACAGCATTGTAAGCAAACGCATTGTAGTCAAAAGACTGATAATTGAAAGTCGAAACGGCAATGACAACATTTCAATCAGATTCTTCTAATTGACAACAATAGTAAGCATTACTATCATAGGAACAGCTGAAAAGAAAATATGTAGAACATGAGAGAAATTACCATGAGACTAACCTTGCAAAGGAAGTCGTGGGTCAAGACTCGAAACGGCGAAAGGAAGACGCGAGTTGCGGGTCACAGGTCACGGGGGGTGAAAGACTGAGAGTGAGATGCAACACTTGCAAATCTACAAGATGTGAGACTGACTGAGTTGAGAGAGGGTGCGTGGAGAAGCGAAGGCTGGGAACTGGGAAGAAGAGGGTCTAGAGGGCAGAGGCTATATAGGGATCGATGTTTAGGGTTACGAATACAAACGCAAGTGTTTCAGACTGAAAGGAGAACAAACGACGCCGTTTCTAGTAATAAAAGCATTAATTTATAATTAATTATAAAACGACGTCATTTTGACAACATTTCGATTCGGTTTGGTTTCCGAACCCCAAAAATCAAACCGAACCAACTAGATTCGGTTTGGTTCAGTTTCACAGTTTTGGTTTCCTTTTTTTAGGCCTTGGTTTGGTTTTCGATCCCCTTTTTTCAGTTTTTGATTTTTCGAACCCACCCTTACCAGACGTTACAATATATACATATATATATATATTTGTATATTCATCATCGAACACATTCCTTGAAAATACAAAAGTTGCAATTTGTGAAAAAGTTTTAAAGTTTTAAATCAAAATCAATAAGAATTCAGTGGTGCTTATGAGAGATATCAAAGATCAACCAACATCATCAATGTTTTAAGTTAAATGCTTTAATTTTTATACTTAACAAGATCTTTCATTGAATCACTTTATACATCAAATTTTTAATGACGAAATTAATATCTACTAAATTATAATGTGTCAATTGATATTTTTTTTGTATTGACGAAGATAGATAAAACCGTTAACCAATAATCCGTTACCCGGTGGGTATGGTTATGGATAATCACCAATGGTTAATTTGCATGATTATAGAGATGAATATAGCATTTCTGTTCCCAAATTGAACCGTTGTCATTCCTACATTTTACTTACAACGGAAGAATAATTAGTGTAGGTACTGAATTGGTCTTTTTTTTTTTTTTTTTTTTTTTAACAAACGATATTATCTACACTAAGGGGATGAAGGAGTAACCGAGTTGGTCATATATACTATTTCTAACGGTATTCATCAAATATAGCAAAAAATTAACTCTTAATTTCAAAAATGTCAGTTTTTATAAAAACTTTCAAATATATCCAAATCTCATTTAAGTAGACACAAATACTCTCAAATTTAATATCTAATTAACTAAAAAGTAAAAACCCTATTAGATGAAAGATTAGAGAAAACATTAGACTAAGAGTGTGTATTCAATTGGGAATTTTAAGGGATTTTAATTCTTTTAATGAATCTAGAGGTATTCAATCAAGATTTTAAGTGATTCTTTGAAATTCAATGTGTATTCAATCAGGATTTTAAGATAGTTTATTAAAATCCTTAGAAATCTGAGTGTATTTAATAAGAATTTTAAAGAAGTTTATAACATTCCAGGTGTATTCAATTAGAATTAGAATTTAAAGAATTTGGAAAAGTTGAGGAATTAGAGAGAATTGGAGAGATTTTGTAGCGTATTTTAAGCATCCACAAATCTCACATTTCCCCATGAGATTTCGAAGGAATTAAATTAAAATTTTACATAGAATCTCTACAAATCAGTTAAACTCCATAAAAATCTATGGATTTATAAATCCATTAAAATATCTCAAATTCCCAATTGAATACACCCCCCAAAAGAAATGGTGGAGATTTGTGCATATGAGAGTGAAGGTATTAGTTGCTAGTAGGAAATGGTGGAGGCTTGTGCAACTCTAAATGATGGTGAGTGTAAATGGGTTTTTCTATTTATTTTTTTTTTTTGGCATTGTTCCCCGTCTATGATTTCTCTTTGCTTTTGTAGTTTCTTCTTCAATTGAATATTTATGAAAAAAATGTATTGTCAATCTTTGTAATGTTATTTATCTCAATTTTTCTTTGGTATAAAGCACTCTTTTTGGAATCTCTAAAGTCTTCAATTGTAATTGTCTCATATTGACATATATGCATTTCTTCATATACTGAGAATCTTCTATATATGAAAGCAGTTCGTGCATCACAGTTTCGTTTTTTATTGGTCCTTTTTAGTGCAATTATTTATTTCTATAATTACTTGTTTGTGCAAAGGTTCATGTCCCCTGCTAATATTGTACATAATAAACCTCCAACCTCGGGATTGTCCTTATCGCTGAGAATTTGAATGATGTAGATCATTATTTTTTAGTAAAATACATGAAAACAAAGAAATTTAAGTTTTGGTTGTAACTTGACTAGGAAATGGATTTTGTAGTTTCTCCTTCGGTTGAATATTTATTAAAGTTGACGATTTTCATTTCATATTATATATTTTCATTATTTTACTATGAATTTTTTGATCATTGCGTATGCAGAAGCTATATGACCAGTTGGTAATTAGACCGATTGAATAGTACATGACGATGGGCCTGAAAGAATTATCCTACCACCAATTACACCAAGAAGATATGGAAGACTCAAAGAAAAAAAGATCCCATCATTTGGAGAAAACAAAATCAGCTCGGAAATGTTCAAAATGTAGTTCAAATGACCATTGTAAACAAACCTGTAGGAATTCTATTCCAATTCATCCTATTTTGTAGAACTCTTTTTAAATTGGGGTGCGATGAATAAATATTTTCTTTTGATCATTTTATTGTTTATTTTGGTTGTACGTACAATTCTTTAAATTTCAGACAATTAAAAGTTAATTACTTTTATTTCTTTATTTTGATGGTTCACTTTTATAACATGCTGAAGTGTTTTCGAGTAACCATGTGAGGAAGAATGGTTTCCTTGATTAGTTATTGAAATAAAATTGATAGAAAACGTTTGCTTTTTGTTTGGAAAAGAAAAAGAAAAAGAGAAATTTTTAGTGAGAGATTACAGCACTAGAAGTTTTAAGTCTAATAATTAGTTATTCATATAAATTAAGAGTAGTTCAATACACCTATAATTTTATAAACTTCTTTAAAATCATAATTGAATACACCCGAATTTCTAAGGATTTTAATAAATTATCTTAAAATTCTAATTGAATACACCTTAAATTTCAGAGAATTACTTAAAATTCTGATTGAATATCCCTAAATTCATTAAAAGAATTAAAATCCCTCAAAATCCCAATTGAATACATTCCCCTAAGAGTAGGTGTGTCTATTTAAGCGATATTTTAGATATGTATGAAAGTTTTTATAAAAATTGATTTTTTTGAAATTAAAGGTTAGTTTTTTGGCTATTTTTGATAAATTTTTATTTATAACCGAGTGTTCTTTCTTGTAATATTTTCACAAAGCTGCGCCCAAATTAGCTTGATCCCAAGATGTAGAATCTACGTTGAATCACCATTTAGCAGGGCTACGAGGCCTTGGTTCTCTTCTTGGGCGGGGCATCAAGTACATTTATCTTTACCATCATTATTGGCGGGTGGTGGGCTAGAAGCCCAAAACAGGCCTGGGCGCAGATACCCAAACCCTAGCATAACTCCCTCCTATATAGCTGCAGCATCCGACCCAACTCCTTCAGATTGTCAACAACAAAAATGCAGCTCTGTACAGCCGCTCCCCAAGTTATCTCCAACCTCCCTAGCCACGGCCACCGCTGCCACAACCGCCATCTCATCACAGACTCCACCACCAACCTCAGCTCGAAACCCTCACTCGTTCACAGACAAATCCCATTCTCACTCAACTCTTTCCGGCTTCACTCTCGTAAGTTCTCCATCCCTTAACCTTTGGTATCCAATCCCAACAAACACCATTAACTTTTATGCCCAATTCACCCTCTGTTTTCATTTCTCAGCTAGGGTTTAGGGTTTTGGCTCATTTTTTTATTTGTCGCTGCTTTAATTTCAAATGTATCGATTATTCGTTTATACTGCTTTCGAATTTGGAAGTTCTTTCAATTGGGGGTTATATTTTTTTGTCCATGTTGGGGTTTTTGGAAATTATTCGTTTTGGTTTGATATAGAGACGGTGACTGTGGCTACTTGCTTATGGGAGCATTATATTTGTGTTTTTCTTGCAGGATTGCTTTTGGCGAGAGCAGCAAAATCAGAAGAAACTCCAAGTGGGCCCAATCCTTATGCTACCGAAGAGCGCAGCGGCGGCGTAGTCTTGGAGGATGTTGTGCCCCCTGAAAAGAATCTGTACAATCAAACTTGGACTGAAGAAGAAGCTAAAGAAGATGCAAATGCGGACGCGGATGGCCAAATACAGATATTCGATTATTTCAGTAACCTCGACTTAAAGGTTTGTAATTTTCTGTAGATGTGAATGTACATATATCAAAGTAGAAGTATTACATGCATTTCAATGTCTGTATGAGCAATTGGTTGGATGCAAAACCTGTTCTGTTTATAGCGGTAAATACGTAGAGGTTTGTACCCATGTTAGGATTCATCCAACTTTATAATTTGTTTTTGTTTGGTTTGATTTTGTCAAAATTAATTTTGTGGAATTGAAAAACTTGGTTGCGATGATGATTCAGTAACCACTTGAGAGTGTCTAACAATACTCGATGGAAATCCGACAATTATGTCGATCTGAGCGGTTACCTGAGCGACTAAGTATTTAAATTTGGTGGTTTGGTGAGGGATTTCATGAGTGTTTACCTCAGCAAGAAATGTTCCTCAGTACCTCTTCATCATTAAAAACGGCATTTCCGTCGTTTTTGTTATTTTCCCCATATGAAATTTGAGAAGTATACTAAAAGGTTGGTTTTTGATACTGACCTTTCTTGTCAAACATCGAATTGGATTTCAGAATCAAAGATGTGCTTGCTTGTATTTGTTTTCTTTAACATGATTGTTTTACCTTTTTATTTAATTTTCTTGTAACCTGAATATTATGGTAATATGGTTCAATGGATCCCTAGTATCCTTACATGTTAGTAAGGAAAAAACTTGCTTTAATCGTGGTAGCCTTTTCTCTGTTTTACTGTTCTACTAATTTCAGGTATGAGTTTTGCCCTATTTATACGAGTTTCTTTATTCTATTCAAAATTACAACTCTTTGGTGTTAATTGTGTGTGATCTTTGGTTGCGATGATGATTCAGTAACTAGTTCAGAGTATCTAAGGATGCTCAATGGAACTTTGACAATCATGTTGATTCTGAGCGGTTACCTGAGCAACTTGGCATGTTGATTTGGTTCAGTACTCAAATTTGGTCTCTTTGTTGTGTCTCGACTGCCTTTCTTTCCTTTGTTTTGTCTTTGGTTGCTTGTGAATGGTTGCGATGATGATTCAGTACTAGTTTAGAGTGTCTAAGAATGCTCAGTGGAACTTCGACAATCATGTCGATTCTGAGCGGTTACCTGAGCAACTCGATATTTGATTTGGTAGAAGTATTTCGTTTCATTTGTTTTGTCTTTGGCTGGTCTATAATATGTAAAAAAGTAGCAGCTTACGATGAACATAAATTAGTGTTAATATTCACAGTATGGAATATGATTTTACTAGTTATAATATTGTCCCACGCATGTATTATGTATATACTGCTGGTAGAACCATGTTTCTAAATACAACTATAAATACCCTATCAATAAAAACGATTTACTTCCGACCGAAAGAAAATAAAAAAGCTGTACTGATGGCTTGCTCTTTTGACTAATTGCAGTTGGATAGTGAGGATACATACAGCCTTTTGCTATACGGTGGTGGTGCCTTGTTTGCCCTGTGGTTAGCATCAGCTGTTGTTGGAGCTATTGATTCTATTCCGTTGGTATGTCACAAAGCATACTTTCCATGTGAATTTCTTGACTTACAGCTATGAATTAATGCCCTTTTTCTGGGTATTGATGTTGCTCGCCATATCAATCAGTTCCCGAAGTTGCTGGAAGTCGTTGGTCTTGGATACACCGTCTGGTTTAGCTCTCGTTATCTGATATTCAAGGTAATTATAAACTTCTAGCTTCAAATGTCACCATATTAGCTGGTCAGACATGTTAAAAATAAAATATAATGTTGATTATTTTTGTGCAGAAAAACAGAGATGAGTTGGTTGCTAAAGTTCAAGTCCTTAAACAGCAGGTTCTGGGTTCGGACGATGACTGATATGGAGGACTTGTTACGTTGTGCAGATTGTTGCTGCATAAAACCATGAATGTAGAGTTGAAGGAAAAATATATAGGGATTTCTTTTAGCCAATATTAGGAATAGTCCACTTTATTAATATAAGTTCAATCTCTTAAGTTAGGGATCATTTTATTATCAGATAAGGTTTACAGTAAAAATTAAATTTCTTCTTAATTATCTCGTTGATTATTTCTTTCATATTTTTTTTGTTATTCGTGTTCTTCATCTTCTTGCTCTAAGCCTCATTTATGGATTTTTATTTTTATAGTCATCGTATATTAAAAGTTCATTTTATTTATCAACTAACATGGCAGATTGTTTTTTTTATGATCAACATGAATCACTTATTAATTTGTCTTATTTGTAGGTATATTATGTTTTTGTACGTTCTAGTTAGGTTTCGTAACTCGCGTATATGTATTATACATTTATATATTTTTTGCTTGAGTTAGGGTCATATGTTCTGCAGATGAATTTATGTTAGTACATTAGTTTTTTATTATAAGATGCCAAAAATTTGCAAATGCATGAAACTAGAAGATTTTAATTTATTTCCAATATTTTTAATAAATGTAAAATAAGTATAAAAGAAATAAGACTACAGAAAAGATTATACTAAACTTAAAACACTTTCATTATTATTATTTTTTTTTACCCAAATCTAAATGCTCCGATCCGACATGTTTTTCTGCTCCCTTTTGGTTGTGCAAGTGCAACTGTGGCCTAAGCTTTTATATATTTGTAGTTTTTACGACTAACCAAAACGTTCTATGCTCAATTGCTCATCGTCAACCATGTTGTCCTAGCCAATGTCGTAACTCTTGAGCTTTGAATTTCTATAGCAATTTTGTATATCAGTTATACTTGCAAGCAGTCTTAAGGAGGTTGATCATTTTGCAAGTGGTGGAATTGTTCCGGTGGATAGAGTTTTCCTTTTCAACCCAATGCGTCTCGGGTTCAAACTCTTTTTTTTTTCCATAGTTTAGATGAATTTAGTATAGATTATACATCTTTTGTCGAAAAGGAGGTTGATCATTTCTTAAACCGATTAATGAATCATCTTCAATACACAAGGATAAAATTCTTAATCCTATTGCCCAAGTAAAATTTTTTGGATAACTCAATGGTACTTTTCAACTCAATGCGTCTCAGGTTTAAACTCTCTACTCTTTTCATATTTTAGATGAATTTAGTACAGATTATACATTTTTTGTCAAAAAGGAGGTTGATCATTTCTTAAACTGATTAATGAATCACCTCCAATACAGAAGGACAAAATTCTTAATCCTATTGCCTAGACCTGGCATTTTCAACCCAACTTGACCCAACCCGTTAAAATTAGTATTCGGGTGAGTGATAAACGGGTCAGGTGGTTAACGGGTATTGAGGACTTTTGTGTAATTTCATTAGTTTCCTTCTTTTTTATTTTTTTCCCTCTTGCTCTCCTTCTCTCTTGTTTCTCTTTTATCAGTGACATATCAAGATGAGAGTGAAGTTCGATGTTGCTGAAGTTGGCAATCTATCTTCATCTGTCTCTGTGAGATTACTTGTGTTATTTTATGGCTGCATCTAACCTCTTTGTTAGACTGCCTATGTACGCTCAAACGGATCAAGCCATTCATAGTTCACCATCATAATTAAATCGTTTACTAATAATATTGGAGTGATGGGTATATTCAATACTAGATTCAAACAATGAAATCACACCAAACGAGTATCAAATATGAAATAATAATATCGAAATTAGCTTAAAAAGGCCAAGTCTGCCAACTGGCCATGCGCTACCACCGCAGTTGGTGGTTTCCGACGAACAGAAACCAAATTTTTTAGATTAACTCCAAAAATTACCAAATTTTACAGGATTGTAGAACACAACAAGGAGAAGAACTTTCACACATGGCCTAAAGTCCAATTCGGCTGGAAAGTACCTCAAATTACCCTCGATCCAATAGGAACCCTAGAACGAACTATGATGCCTCAACCACTGCTTGGGCTTTGCTCCTGAGGTTGAGGGGAGTCTATTGGTGGTGGTGGTTGATGGAATTGGCTTTCAGAATGGCAGATCGCCACCGTGGAGTCATCGTACCCACCGGTGCTGTTTTTCGTGAAATGAGAGCCAAAGCTCGTCGAGTTGGGTGGAAATGGAAGAGGGAGGGATATGTAGTTGTTTCTAGGTGGTGGCTTGCCTTGATTCACTAGAGAAATGCCGAAAAAGCCATCGAATTTCTTGCCCAAAAACCGGGTCTGTAGTCAGGTTAGAAACCAGGTCGTGTGGGATCCCCGGTTGGCTGGTTCCACCCTCTCTTTCCTTTCCCTCATTTCTTTTCTCCCCGATTCCCAGTTTCCCCCTCCTTTCTTCTCTCTCTCTCTCCCCCCCCCCAATCATAGCCACCTACGTGACTTATCTCCCATAGGAAAGTTCTCCAGCTTTCCTGGAGCCTTCCAGGTTGTAAAATCTAAATGTGATACCACACATACTCTTAGATATTCTTTGAATATTGAACTCTGTTATGATTATATCTTGCTGGATTTTGCGTCCAAAGGCATTGGTTGAGGACAATTATCATCACGAAAGGTTTGTTCAAGCATGTGCATTTCATATCTCTATTTGTGTTGCATTTTGTCTAGTTTGATTGTCTAGTCAGTTTTGCGCACTGACTTCTAGCTGTTTGGGCACACAAATTAAGACATTCTACATGGGCCAACTGACACCTTTTTGCTGGTGGTTTGTTTTTGGCCCTTGATCTGCTCAAATTGTTTGTTGGGTTAACAAGTGATTTTTGTTCTTGTTAGATGTGCAAAAATTACATCTGTCTATATAACCTTAGCTAGGGTTTTCATCCTCTTTGGTTAAGATAGATTAACTTTAGAGAGGGACATAGTTTTTCATCTCCATCTCAAACCCCTTAGGAGCATCAAGTGTTTTTCTGGGTAATGTTTTTCTTTGAATATTTATGAATCTATCTCTGAAAATGCTTGTTCAAATCTTCTTATATGCTCATTTGTTTTGGCTAAGAGTTTTACATTTTCAGAAAAGAGTTGATTTTAGCTTTGAGCTAACTCTTGTGGTCTTCATTGAAACCCTAGCCACAAAAGAATGTTCATGCATCAAACACCCAATCACTGCATATTAGGGTAGCTTGTCTTCGTGGTTTTGTTTTATTTTTGTGGTCAAATTTTTCAAGTTTCAAATCTTTAAACTGACCTGTTTTGGATTCTCATCAATTTCTTCCTTCAAGTAATTGTCTATAAACTAATTGGTCATTAAATCCAGATTTTTCATAACCATCATTATCATACCATTTGCATTGGTTGTGTTGGTTCTCGGTGCCATAAGGTGATGAGCTCAGAAGGAGCTGCCACTTCGTGAAGACCGAAGGAGTTCATCTTGTGTAAGGCAAAGTTGCACAAAGGTACTTCGTAGATAGAGATCTAGGAATTGAGCTTGTGTGGTCTTTGTTTGAACCTTGTTTACACTAGTAGATTGGATTCATTGGAGAGTCTCTGATTTTTTAACCCAGAGGTGGGTTTTTTCGGCCAAAAACTTCTTGCACTCCTTGTCTCTTAAACTTGTCCACATAACTTACTTGCTTGCATATGTTTCATGCGTCCTATGAGTTGTTCTTTGATAATAGGTGTTAGCTACCAAGTTTACATTGCATATTATGAGTAATGAACTGAATTGTTGTTGACTAGGATAACTTGTAGTGAACTAAGTTTGATTCGTAAATTTGCATTTGATTAACTGACGAATCTGTTCTTAGTTGACTGGTCAGCTTGACTAGTCAATCTAGCATACTTTGTTTCATAATTGCTTTGTCATTGCTGTTTGTATAATGAACTGGTATGTAAATGTGTTCAAGTTTAGGAATTATTTTTGTGAAACTAATCTAGGCAGATTCTGATTAGTTGGACATAGTGGTCAATTAGGATTTGTTATTGCAAGCACTCTTTATATCACCGACTAACTTGTAACTAGTTCAATAGCTCATTTGATTAGTCTACCGTGAAATATTAAATTTTTATTTGCAGGATATTCTGCCAGGTACCAATTTCAGAGATATAGGGATAATTACCATTTTACCCTTGTATTTAACCGTTAATTTCTCCTTCGTTAAAACTTCATTTCGTAAATAGTTTACGCCTACTTGCTCGTAGGATGGACCTCTATCCAAATATGCCAAGAAATACAACAAAGCATATAAAGATAAAATACATCCTCGTATAATTATGTTTAGCCAACTAGGGGCATTTTCATTTTTTGATGTAATACCCTGAATATTTTAGAAAGATAACGTGAATTTTCATTTTATATCTATGGAGAGGAAATCAAAGATAAATAGATTTATGGTTATGAAATTCAAATGGGGGAATGTGAAATCCCTTTCCTAGACTTTATTATTAATTACGTATTTAATAGTCGTATTCAGAGTTACGACATATTTATATTTATGGTGTATAATTTTTTGATAAGTGAAAAGATGAAAATGCCCTAGTTGGCTAAACATAATTATAAGAGGATATATTTTATCCTTATATGCTTCGTTGTATTTCTTGGCATAATTTGATAGAGGTCTATCCTACAAGCGCGTAGGTGAAAACCATTTACGAAACAGAGTTTTAACGAAGGAAAAATTAACAGTTAAATATAGCGGTAAAATGGTAATTATCCTTATATCTAGAAAGCTCCAGGAAAGCTGGAGGACCTTCCCGTGGGATAACCTTCCCGAAAAAATTTGGTTTCTGTTAGCCGGAAATCTCCACCTGTAGGCTGTGGCGGTGTGTGGCCTGTGGGCCTACATGGCCTTTTTAACCTAATTTCAATATTATGACTTCATATTTGATATTCATTTGATGTGATTTGATTGTTTGAATCCAGTATTGAATATACCCACCGCTCGAATATTGTTAGTAAATGGTTTAATTATGATGGTGAACTACGAATGTGTTGATCCCATTTGAGGGTACGTAGGCAGTCTAACAAAGAGGTTAGATGTAGCCATAAAATAACCAAATAGATTTTGTGAATAATTGTCAAGTAAGGAAATTTATTATGATTTATAACGTAAAGGGTAACCACGACTTTATTTTGGCCTATCACTGTGATTAGCTTCCGAATAATTTTTGGGTTGTTACATATCCACACACCCCATATTAAGTTTTGTCATTTATTTTTCTTCAATTCATCCGATCCAACA